TTAGGGTCAGTAAATGATGACTATGCCTTTAACATGTGCATCGGCCATTCATTTAGTCATTCTACTCAATACTCATTAAATGTTTGCAAATATGTTGTTACTGATTAAGCAACATCACATTGACCGTATGTGCTTCTCTTATTTAGCCATTACTGTAAGTTCTTCAACTGATGATGTCATCAAGACAAGTTCAATCTCCTGAATCAGTTCAAACCGTCTCAGTTATCAATTCAAAGTGTGATTCAACAGTGTGTGCCATTATCACTCCATCTGACAAATATGTGAATAAGAAGTATATGTAATATACAATTATATATGAAGAGTTCAGATGCAAAAGCCTCTAAATGCCATTTGAAATTTTCTTCTTTAATGATGATTTTTATCAAACTTGTATATTTAAGTCCAGTAATTTCACCTAAATAACAATTAATAGGTAATTATCATTGCCATTTAAGTGAAATTACTGAACTTAAATACACAAGTTTGGTAAAAATCATCATTAAAGAGGAAAATTTCAAATGGCATTTAGAGGCTTTTGCATCTGAACTCTTCATGTGTAAGTTATAACTGTATTTTATATGTAAAAAATATATGAATATATATAATAATACTAACAAACAGAACTTTGCCTGAGAAATTATGCTTCTCTTTTACTTTTTACTAAACCCCCCCCACACACACACATATGCACAAAGAAGCTATTTTTATCCAGAATCCCAAATGCATATTTTTCACTTGCCTCACACAAATTGCAGTGCTCTAAAATTATACACGATGCACAAAGTAAACTATTTAGAAAGCGCTCAACCATCGATCCACACGATTCAGATCCACACGCTTCAGAACCATCTAATTTACAAACACTGCAAAAATATTCATTTAAATGTAATTTACTAAACATTCTATACAGTGAGTATAAGAATATAGAATATTCCATCCATCATGTAATACATTAAAATGTTCCAATACTGGAAGTATTTATAATTTGTTCATGAATTTAGTTACATTTATTTTATTAAGTTTTTAACACCATGTCAACAGCAGGGCAAGAATATAGCATAAAATTAACACAATATATTTAAAACATTTTAAGTTAATATGAGAACGCAATTTTAAACTCTTTTAAATTTATTAAATGCACTTTAGGGTTGCATTAGTCATTCATAAATTATTACTTAAATTGCAAGTCATAAATGCCACACTATACAGATTTAGTAACTACTAGCTAGTTTGTAACTAACTCTGTACTTGAACTAATAAAATGTAAACGAATGTTAATGTCAACATTATCATATTTGTCAAAATGATTGAAGATTTTTCATGCAGTTTTGTTTTATTCCAGTCATTAGTAGTTTATAAATAAAGTTGAGGTTTAATGCGACAGACATTTTTAGTACATAAGTTGCATGTTTACATCATGAAACTCAACTTATGCACAGCTAATGTTTGATCTTGAGTGAGGATTCGAACGCTGCCTATTAAATGAATAAACGGATCAGCATTTGTTTATGAATCAGACTTCACTGATCACTATGTTCCAGTTAAACAGCTTCTGTTTATAACTTACTTACTGTAAATAAACATAATATATAAAATAAATAAATAATCATTATTATAGGTTTATTTTATGAAGCGCCTTTCACATAGCGGACAGGCAAAGAAACACAACAGCAAACAACCAAAACAATACAACAAAAGCAACTCATATTTAAGGTGCAAATAATACATATTCTTTTATAGTGAGAATCAGGACTTGTACGATAAAATAAAAACCCTTAATAAAGCTTGTGCATTATCACTGTCCGAGTTTAAGGCGTTTTTGCTGCAAAGTCTAAATTTGAACGCTGACCAATTAAAAGCATTCATGGGTAAAACTGCTGAATATATGAAAATATGCAGAAAAATGAAAGCTAAGCAAAAAACCTCACTTGCAATCATGTGATATGATGCCATAACGTGAGGTACAACATAAATAAATCACAATATCAGTGTATTTGGTCCCCATACGCAGCTCTAGAAGTTTCCTACCCTTCTGTCATAAGAAACGACCTTCACCCATCCCGGGATCCAGCTGAACGGATCCGCTCTCCTCCGGGCCGGAGTCATCCGTGCGAGATCGGCTCGGGTCCGGGTCAGAGCCCTGGAGAACCGAGCCGGTCCGTGAACGCGAGTCAGTGTGGCTTTACCATCCATCGTGAGTCCGCACGCCTTCCTCGACCTCCAGAGAATCCCGGTCCTCATCCCAGGCTTTTCCAGCCCTGCTTCCGAACAGGTTATTTTTAAACAGAACGAGCGCTGGTGTTGAGATCAGGTTCTGTGTCTCTCAGCGTTTCTGGAGAACACGCCAGCACAACGAGAAACTCAATCTCTCGCTCGGGATTACTGCTAACAAAGGGTTATTTATTTACGGCTATGATAAGATAATGAAGAGACGGGATCGCTATAAAGAAATGCACATTGTGTCTCATCGATCGTCTGTAAGGTGTAAGGTCATCGAGGGTTTCATCAAATACAAAGAGCTTATTGCTAATCGATTGTGTCTTGGGTGGAATGACCTTTAATCTATTCGACATCTGGATCTCATGTACACATGCAGAGAGAAGGGGAAACTATTATAAATGGACAAAAGTGCCACAAAAGCTTCAATTATCATCCAAAAATTCTAGTTGCATCACTTGAATCTTATTAACAAACACCGTGAAACATTATCATGAGCAGCTGTTCGAATCAAGAGCCATTTCTGGAACATTCTGCCTTTGTTCTGAACTTTATAAGCCAATCACTGGAGCTGTAAATGCCATGTGACTAACTACTCTGGAAACACACAAAGAAAGAGAGAATATATATATATGCAAGTCCATTTCATGCTTTAAAGAATAAAATATAAAAAAAAGTGTTGTTTTTTTTTAAGTGGTTAATTCAGCCATATTTAACATATATATATATTTAATAATTAGCTTAATGAAGCCACTTATTCGAATAACGCGTACGGCCCTTAAGGGGTAGAGTAAACAGTTTGTACAGTATAAAATCCATTGTAAAACATTTAGTTCCAGTCCTTGATTCTGATTGGTCAATAGCTGTGTTTTATTCACGATAAACCGCTTCACCCAATGGTTCAATGTATCACTACACAACACCCCTAGCAACCACTGTTCAAACATATGTTTGTTCTCATTGACGCTTACAGAGTATTGTGAGCGATCGAGAGTGTTTGTGTATTTACAGTAGATATAACATCTTACATTCGGAAAAAAAAAATCGCAGCGGACATTCAAAACTGCGTTCAGAAATATCTTGTCCTTTTAACCGGGTTTCCCCATCATTTATCAGTTGCGCATTGCTTCTCCGCGCTCGCAAGTCTCAGTCCTTTCAATATAAAGTCTTCTCTACCGACTCACTCATGAAGACAGTCTTTGCCGCCATCTAATGGAGAAATAATGTTCTTCTGTTGCTGTTCGCGGTCAGGGACGGAAGGAAGGCTTTTAGTGATTTTACTTCATGAAAGTTGCACTAATACATATTTTTGGGCTTTAATATTTGTATTGTGTGGAAACCGTTTAATAAAAGCTATAAAGTACTGGAGGCGAGTGCTGTGTGGGAATAAGACACGACAACACCCTTCAGACTTATTCACCACACACACAGCCTCGAGAACATTATGGCTTACTTACATCTATTTAATATCCCCGTAAACCACCTATGCCAACACGTGTGTGTGTGTGTGTGTGTGTGTGTGTGAATTTACTCACAGAGGACAAGGGGTTCCTCACTGTCACGCTGGGTGTTGTGGCTCGGAGAGCTCCACTCAGACCGTGATAATATTTGAAGCAAACCTTCGTCTCGGCTGCGAGAAACAGAAACAGGAATGAATGACACGAAGGTCGAGAGACACTGATAATAATCATAAATGTTTCTTGATCATCAGATCCTCATATTAGAGTGGTTTCTGAAGGATCATGTGACCCTGAAGACTGCAGTAATTATGCTCAAAATCACAGGAATAAATTACACTTTGATGTATATTCACATAGAAAACTGATGATTTACATTAGAATAATATTTCACAGTTTTACTGTAATGAAAAAAATGCATCTTTGGTGAGCAGAAGAGGCTTCATTCAAAACATCCAAAAGTTTGAATGCTAGTTTACTACAGAACAAAAATAACAAAGATGTCTTAATGAGCATCCATCATCAGTGGGAGCAGCGGGAGTGTGAGTATCATCGGCGGACCCGTGTAATGAAAGCTGACATCTTGCTGAAGTGGATGTGAAACTCAACAGAATTACATGACGGGTTTCCCAGGGTGCATTGCAACTCAATCTCATTTCTGAAGGCTCCCTGCTGGTGTGTGTGTGTGTGTGGGTAGCAAAACAGATATGATACATCTGCTATTGTCATGTACAGTATGATGAACCAGTGGAGCGGTGGAGTGATGCGCTGTCAGATGATTTCAGATGTGTGTGTGTGTGTGTGTGTGCTTTTCCAGGTGAGCTGCTTCATCTAAAATCGTCCCTTATTTAGTTACTACACCTTCTAAAAGTGTTGTTTTCATGACTGTCCACTTCTCTGTTCTCTCTCTCACACACACACACACACCTGGGTGATGCACCTGCGTAATACAGAGCCATTACTTTACATTACATTACTGTTTCCATTAACACACACACACACACACACACACACAGAGATAATCCAGCTTGACATTAAGTGCCGCAAATGTTTTTTTTGTCATATTCCTGAACGGCTGATCTCCTTTCATCCCACCGTAATGCTTTTAGAAAACTTGTGTGTGTGTGTGTGTGTGTGTGTGTGTGTGGGGTCGAGCAGCGATCGACAGCTGATTATATATAAAAATATCAAGGAAAGATAACACAAAACAATCTATAGTTTGTTAGTTAACTATAGTTAGTTGACTGGTTAATGCATTTACACGAAATTAGCAATATTTCTTTCTTACAGTATTTGTTAATTATTGTAAACATTAGTTAATAAAAACAGTTTTTTAGTTCATATTATTAGTTTCAATAATGTAATACTGAAATTAACATGAACTAAGATGGACTATTATTAATGAATGATTTAGAAGTAGTTTTCAGTGTCAGTTCTTGTAATAAAATTAATATTAACGAACAAACATTAGCAAAGCCGCAGGAAGAGAAAAATCTTGGGTTAATTATTTTTGAACATGCATTACAGTCTATATTAACTGCAGAAATTGTACTGTATTTTAGATTGTTATTTGTGATAAAAGCTTCAAATAAACTGTTCGTTTCTTTGGCCTTAATTCATAAACACAAGCATTTGTGTGAATAGTTTTGAATATGTAAATATAGTTTAATTAAAATGTATTTCATCCACCAGATATTAAATTGGATGTGTCATGTTCAAATTTCTGAATTCAGCAAGCGTTTGATGTATTATCTAAATATGATCAATTTATATGGAAATGGGATCACACACTTTATATTAAGAGTCTTTAGCTACTATGTACTTACATTCAATAATTTAATTGGGTTACACTTTATTTTAAGGTGTCATTGTTACAGTGTAATTATACATTTATTAATATTAATTAACTACACTGTAAAAAAAATTGATGGTTTAACTTAAAAAATTAAGTAACCCGGTTGCCTTAAAATTTTAAGTTGATTGAATTGGAAAAAATGAGTTAATACAATGAAGGAGATTAATTTAACCATCAGAAACTCAAAATTATATGTTATCTGAACTAAATAAATGATTATAAAGTTGATTTGACAAAAGAAAATATGTTGTGATAACAAATCTTGAAAATATGTTTTATTTGTACTATTATGTACTATTATAGGGTTAGGGTTTGGTTGAAGGTTAGTTGCATGGGATTATTTAATAATTTACTATTTTACTATGATATGTAACATATGTAATGGACACTATAAAATAAAGTGTTTTAATGCTGATGATGATACAGGCAAGTTAGGAGGACAGGGTTTAAGCGTGGGTTAGGTATGAATAATAAATGTACAAACATGTATATGTATGCACAGAATAAGTGCATTGTACTAAATTATTCATTTAAATGTTTGTACATAGTAGTTAAAGACACTTCATATAAATTGGGACCAATAATTGTGTGTTTCATCTCATTCAGACATCATATTGAGACTAGATTGATCCATCAAATCTAACGCTTCACATGGACAGTTTCGCAAGAACGCGAGGAACTTTAAAAGCTGAAGATCTGAATCTGGTTGGTTTTGGGATATAGACCGAGAAAGCAAATATGTATAATCGTGCTGATAGGTATGATTCCCAGAAAAAAAGAGAAATACGGGGATTTCTGAAGCGGTCTTAATCCTGAAGATGACTGTAGACTGCATTTATCTGTTGCCTGACAGAGAAATAAAGCGTTCGAAACCCCGAGGCGTCAATGAAAGATGTGCGACGAGGAATACTCACCCTCCATAAAGTACAAGCTGGCTTCGATCCTCCACACGATCTGGCCTCTGTGCGAGCCGCTCACTCCTCGACTCTTGTAGTCCAGAAAGTTTTCTGACAGAACCTCGTCTATAACACAAGAACAGAGAGAAGAGGGCTGTTCTGCTGTTATCTGTGGATCCGTTCAGACATCACAGAAAACACATTTTTAGCAAAACAGGAATCATTTTTGGTCCGACATTTGTGTAAATTTGAAGAATATTTGCTCTCATCACTTACAGAAATGAACTATAGTGTCCTGCACACACTAGTAAACACATTTTCTAGTAAACAAAAATATTCTGGATGAGTGAGATTGGCCTGTTTTGTTCTCCTGTAAACGGAGTCTCTGAAGCTCAAAGGCTCCGCCCTCTTCTGAATGGAGGCGGAGCAACAGCTCATTTGCATTTAAAGGGACACACAAACAAAATGTGTGTTTTTGCCCTCACCCCAAATTCGACCACCTATAATAAATGATCGGGTATTTTGAGCTGAAATTTCTAAAGAGACACCATAGATTTATATTACATCTTTTGAAAAGGGGCATTAATAAGTGACCTTTAAGATGCATTTTACAGTACATTTACCCTGACATGAAGTTAGTTGCTGATAAACCCATATGGGTTGACTGTTCATGAAGTGTTCTCACCAATAAGGTACATGCCGATCCAGTCCCCGGCGTCCACCTCCTCGGTGATGTCCCAGCTGATGACGATGTCCTCTGATTGGCCGAGGCAGTAGAGGGAGGAGCTGACGGTCAGGGTGGAGCGGGTCTGCAGGGACACCAGATCCGTGTCACTGGTGGATCGGGGCAGAACCAGCGCTTCAGCGTGAGCCGAGCCGAGCCGAGAGCCGTCCTTACAGCGGCGCCGGGTCTGAGCGCTCCTGGACGGAGAGGCCATCGACGTCAGGCCCACGACCCGGCTCTGGTACAGGTTCTGCAGAACGGCGGGAGCATTAACGTTCAGTTCATCTTTAATTAAAATATGTGTAAGCTTGTTTCCAACACGGAACAAAATTATAAAAACCTATTCTTTAA